AGTCTATACATTAATTGTAACTTTATTTTTTTTGGATATATTCTTATAAAACAATATATTTTTAAAGTATTTATTTTTAAATTCTTAATTAATATTTGAGGTTTAAATTATATATTACAAATTTTAATTTAGAAATTCCTAAATAAATAAATAAATAATCATGTTTTTTTAAGCAAAAATTTTATGAAAAACACAAAAAAAAATATTAATAATTAAATAAAAAATTAATAAAAAAAATTATAAAATTTTGAAATAATTTTGTTCTATCTACTCGTAGCGCTACGTGGATAATTTAAAAAAATAATCTTATCATCAGCATTGAATAAGAAATTTTTTTTCATTTGTTAGTTTTTATAAAAGTCTATCTATTAATTATAACTTTATTTTTTGAAATACAATATTATAAAAAATATATTTTAATTTTTTTTAATTCTTGATTAATATTTTAGTTAAAATCAATCCCTAGAAAAGAATTATTTATCTTTTGTTTTAAGCAAAAAATTTATTTAAAAAAATTAGATAAAATTAATTAAATTAAAAATTATAATGAAAAATTTTTAAATTTTTAAAATAATTTTGTTCTATCGGATCCGCGAGTGTAGCGTGAACAATCGACTAGTTGGATCTAATTGTTTAGATATAACCAACATAAGATTGGATTTATAAAATTATTTACATAAAATTTAATTTATCGATTCAATGTGATCACAGGATCTCAAAATAAGATTTTTCCAAAAAAATTAAATATTTTAAGCATTTGTACGCCAACTCAAAACGAGTACAAATTTGTCCGGAAAAAAAAAAAAGCATCGGCGTGCCATGTCAACACGGATAGTACACGATCGCTGAGCAGCCAGGCTTTCGTTTCATGGACTGGCAGGCACAATTCACAACATTCGCATATTCATATAGAAGGAGTGCTTCTTTATTGAAGCTATTCATTATTATCAGACATCAACGTTAACAATAAGTTTTCTACTCTTACCTAGGACTTTGACATGCTGGTTCTCTCTCTTTCTTTATTATACGTCATGTTCAGCTAATAATGCAAAACTTTCACATGTATGCTTTGATGGGAACTCCAACGAGACGAGGTAAATATTGGCAACCGAAGGACCCAATGAAATTTGTTCTTCTTGTTCTTCTACAAGCGTTTTATCACTTAACTTAATTATTTCTCCCCTTTATTTATTTTGTTCTTCTTAAATCTAAACGCCTTTGCCACTTCTGGAATTGGTCTTGGATTTTTCTTTTCAATGGCCTTAAAGCCGCACTTGAAATTATATATATATATATGAGACCCCAATTATAAGATTACCCAATAAACTTTGCAACTTTATGTAATTATAGTTTAGATTAATACTAATTTTTTTATTCGCATTACATTGTAGGTCAAATAAAATACATAAAATTATTTTTTAAAAATTATTTCATTTTAATGTCTTATATTATATTTTGCGTCTATCAAAATATATAAAATCAAAACTAAATAAAAATTCATTTAATTTTATCATTTGTTTATCAAAATTTTATATTTAACTAATTATTCTTTATATTTTCATAAATTTTTTATTAACAAATTTTTATTTATTTATCTCTATCCATATTTTTAGCTAAAACCTTATTTTGTAAATTGTTTTTTTTTTCTAAATATCTTTTTATCTTAAAATTTTTAATTAAAAAAATCGAGAGAAAAAAAGTAAGAACCAAAGTAACCAAAAAAAAAATGAAACTAAAATCAAATAAGAAATATTTACGGACTAAAAAAATAATATTAAAAAAAAAACTAAAGTATAATGTCATGAAAACGTTCATAATAAATATCTTTAAAATATTTAAAAATTATAAAAATATTACTCGTATAACGAAAGAAATAATACATGAGCCTAGATAAACAAGTATTTCAAATAATGCACTAAATAGTAATCAATGATTTTAGTTTTATTTTTTTGTAATTATTATCTATTTTAAGTTATTAAAAGTAAACTAACTTAAAGTTACACCCTTACCTTCTTTAGGTCCATTTACAACATGACTCTATAAGTGTCAACAAAACTCCATTATATTAACTCTTTTTTTAAAAGAAACTTCGCTGCCTCCCTTGTGATCAATGATTTTTATGTTTATAATTATTAACGAGGAAAAAAAAAAGAAGAAGACATCATGCTAGTTTGCCACTTAATTCCTTTCTTGTTTTTGTTATTGCCACTTTAATTTTACTCTATTGTGCGATCTCTATTCAATCAACATATTTATATGCGAAGAATGTTCGTTGGCAAACTCCCCGATAACGACAAGGTGAGTGAGGGTGAAAAAAGGAAGGAGAGTACTTTCTTCGTTTCAAAGGGAGTGTTTACCCTTTTTTTTTTTTCACAATATTTATATGATAAAAATTTTAAAATATTGTTTGCTAGTAAAAAAATTAAATAATAAAAAAATATGAATAAAAATAAAAATTAAACATGATTTCATTCCTACAAGGAAACATGAGAATAAACATAATGAATAGAAATAATTTTTTAAATATTAATATATAATTTTTATTTATTATGTATCAAATATTTCTACTATCATCGTTATTTCTATTGTTGCTATGACTGCCATTATTATTATTATAGATTACTGCTGTTATTATATTATTATCACTAAGATCATTATTTTTTTCCTCTACAATCACCTTTATCATTTTTATTTTTATTATACATGATTAAACTATTTTTTAATCATTTTTGTTATTCGTTTTAAAAATTAAATCTCATTTCAATTTTTTATTTATATTCAAACAATGAAAATTCTATTCTGATTTTCTATTTGTTATTTGGATTTCTGCATTATTATTTTAGTATTTCATTTTTGGTAATCAAATGACAACTAAGTGATATAATTTTATAAAATATTTCTAATTAACTCTATTTTGTAAAAGATTATCCATATAATTCTTTTAAAAAAAAGTAGATGGAAGGAAAATTTGTAAATAACAACTAAGAGACAGCAAAAAATGGAAATATAATTAAGGAAGAAAAGGTATATATATTATCATATTAAATATCAACCATTACATTGAATGGAGACCGAAGGTAGAGAATTCGTGTAAAACCTTTTGTTTTACACATGTGGGTGTATATATATATATTTGTATGCAGTTGTCTTCCATAAAAAAATAAAAATAAAATAAAATAAAAATAAAAATCATTGATTCCTTAGACTCATTCATATCCTATTAATCACACTTCAAATACAGATGTGGTAAGATTTTTCTAATGTTATTGTTGGGAAGATGGAATAAAAAAAATATACTCATTTAATTTATTAAAAAACAGAATAGAGTTAAATAAAATATGCGCGACTTTAGATCTTTTGTGTCTGTAAATAAAAAATACAACCGCGCTTTCACAACTAAACGCGCAAACACCTGTATCTATCCTCTCAACCTAGTTAAGGATGAAATCTTGTCCTAACGTGTTTTACACATCCATCCCACTCATTTCTCCCTAAACCCAATAATACCCTTCTCTCCTTTCTTTAATCCACCTCCCTACTAATCACTCCCCCTTTTTTCTCCTTCTTGTCTTTAAATAAATAAATCATCCTTTTTATATGTTCCCATCTTGTCCGTACCATTCCTCCCTCTCTCTTTCTCCAAAACCCCATAACACTACTAGCAGTAAAAAAAGAAAATTACACAGCTCAAAATCAACTCTCCTTCTTACACGAACCTTCTGCCTTTCTTTCGTTACATAACTACCAAATTAAAATAATAATAATAAACCATCGCCTACTTTTACCTCACACAGACACAGCTGTGTAATAAAAAGAATATATATATATATATATATATATATATATAGAGAGAGAGAGAGAGAGAGAGAGAGAGAGTCTCAGTCATGCCCTATTAGTGCTTGTAGTTTTGTTCACGACTGAGTCTTTCTTTCAACACCCACTTCCCACCCTTTCTCTATGCTGGAAATACACAGTATGGACGGTTAAAGGTGGTGGCTTTGAAGCATTCCTTCTTTGGTTTTAAAGATTTTTTCAATTATTATTATTATTATTATTATTATTTTTGCCGTTTAGCATTTCCAAAACTTTCAAAGAATCTGACAAAGGGATCTGTCCATCTATTATCTCTCTCCTCAATTTATATATACACGCTTAGCTACAAGAGAGGGTAAGCCTTTATTTGGATAAGACCATTACTCTTTCTACATACTTCATGACCTGCAGTGTTTTGCTTGGTTTTAAGATTGTTGTATGGCCTGATTATTCGTTACTCGAAAGGTAAAATGTTTTACGGTGAAAAGGGGTTTCTGGGTTCTCTTTTTCTTTGCTTAAAGTAAATGGGATTTTGGATCTTGAGTTGTTTCTGCTACTAGACTTTTGGGTTCATTCTGGTTGAGTTTGTTTTTGTTTTGGTTAAAGTGTGTAGATTGTGACCATGTTTGTGGTAATTATGATGTTTATTTTTGGGATCTTAGGCGTTTTGCCTTTTGGGTTCTTCTAGTAAACGAGAAGTCAAAAGGGTTTTGGTTAGTTAAGCCTTAATGCTATTGTACTGTTAATTCTCTCTTCTTTATGCTTCATTTTCTTGGTACTCAAACGGGTTTTAAATAGATTTGTGGATGATCTGTAATATCCGGGCACCCTGTCTTCTTACGTGAAGAGCTTTGGACTTAATTTGAATCCTTCTGCAATTGAAAGCTTTTTTTTTTTTTTTTTTTTTTTTTTTGCCATCACAAACCTTATTCTTTGTTTTTCTGTTGATTAAATGTAGAGAGTAGAATGACTTAAAAATTACGAGTGCTAGATTTTCATGATCTGATGTGCTATGTATGGTTTCTTGTCACCTAAGTAGAGCATCTGAATTATATATTGGATTTTGCTTTTGATTGTGATATGTTAGAATCTGGTTGGAATTATGAAGAATATGCTGATGGGAATTAAATTTCTGTGTAATATTATAATTGCAGGATCTGAAGAGAAGTCTCTAAAAGTGTTAAAATATGGCCTCAAAATCGTTCAAAGGTACTCGATCGAACTTATCAGTTAGCTCAGATGCTGCTGAATCTCACAAACCTCCCTTTCCTCCGACGGTGACATTTGGCCGGAGAACTTCCTCTGGTCGCTATATCAGCTACTCAAGGGATGATCTTGATAGTGAACTTGGGAGTAGTGATTTCATGAACTATACAGTGCATATACCACCGACCCCTGACAACCAACCCATGGATCCATCTATCTCACAGAAGGTTGAAGAGCAATATGTGTCAAATTCGCTCTTTACAGGTGGTTTTAATAGTGTTACACGTGCTCATCTCATGGACAAGGTGATTGAATCTGAAGCCAGCCATCCCCAAATGGCTGGTGCTAAGGGATCCTCTTGTGCGATTCCAGGGTGTGATGCAAAGGTGATGAGTGATGAGCGTGGCGTTGATATCCTCCCTTGTGAGTGTGATTTCAAAATATGCCGGGATTGCTATATTGATGCAGTGAAAAGTGGGGGTGGAATTTGCCCTGGTTGTAAGGAGCCTTACAAGAACACGGAATTGGATGAAGTGGCTGTGGACAGTGGAAGGCCTCTTCCACTTCCTCCACCAGGCACAATGTCCAAAATGGAGAGGAGGCTGTCGTTGATGAAGTCAACCAAATCAGTGCTTATGAGGAGCCAGACTGGGGACTTTGATCACAATAGGTGGCTCTTTGAAACAAGGGGAACTTATGGGTATGGGAATGCTATCTGGCCAAATGATGGGGGTTTCGGCAATGGGAATGATGAAGTTGGCGAGCCCAAAGAATTGATGAACAAGCCATGGAGGCCACTTACTCGAAAATTAAAGATACCAGCTGCTATTATCAGTCCATATCGGTACAGTCTCCTTGCCCAACATGGTTCTCTTCTCTTACTATTGATAGTATAATAATTTTTGCTAGAGAATAAAAAAATCCAACAATTTTTATATGTACTCTTTATTCCCCTTCTTGGTCGATCTGCCTTTGTGGTTCTTTTATCTACTAATCTGGTATCTATGGTTGCCAAGCTAATATAGCTCACAACTGTCATTGTATATATAAAGCATTAAATTTGAGCTCTGTACTTTATTCCTAAGATTTTATAGAAAAAAGTTAACTGTATCAATCTAGTAAATTTCCAGAGTCGCAAAAGAATTCTAAACTGATTGCATTTGGTACCTGGTATTGGAGAATTGATTCTGAAATCCTCTCCATTATTTGTTTTGTTTCATCAATGATTATTGTGCATTTCACATGAGGTGCCAGTAAAAGATACAGTCAAGAAAACTGTCAATATGTTAGAACTTGAATCTTAAATGTAATTGTACTTGAATCGTGCAAACTTGTTGCTATGGAATTTGATGTGCTCATTTGAAATGCATATATTATTCTGTGAAATCATTTCAGTTCCATGAGAGGTCCATCCAATTTTCTCTTACCTTTATTTTTCAATTCCAAAGAGCCTTGATCATATTTGGAGATGGGAATAGAACCTGGGTCATTTGCCAACTCTCCAAAGAATTTTTGAGCAGGCTTAGCTGGAAATGTTAATTTGACATTTGACTTGCAAACTTTGCCTTCCTGTTTCCCTTCTATTGACATTTCCTTCAATGTTATTCACTAATGTTTATACATAAGGTGTAAGGATAATGTTGTTTAATTCCAACCTCTGGAAGCTATGCTGATTAATGCATTTTGTCCTTGCTGCATCTCTTGTAGGCTTCTCATTCTTATTCGGATTGTTATTCTTGCACTGTTTTTGGATTGGAGGGTCAGAAATCCAAACAATGATGCGATCTGGCTGTGGGGGATGTCAGTGGTTTGTGAGATATGGTTTGCTTTTTCTTGGCTTCTGGACCAACTTCCAAAGCTATGCCCAATCAATCGTGCTACAGATCTTAATGTCTTGAAAGATAAATTTGAAGGACCCAGTCCTAGCAATCCCACTGGTAAATCTGATCTCCCAGGCATAGATGTTTTTGTTTCTACTGCAGATCCAGAAAAAGAACCGCCTCTTGTTACTGCAAACACAATTTTATCAATTCTAGCAGCTGATTACCCAGTTGAAAAGCTTTCTTGTTATGTTTCTGATGATGGAGGTGCACTTCTAACATTTGAGGCCATGGCTGAAGCAGCAAGTTTTGCTAATATATGGGTTCCTTTCTGCCGTAAACATGATATTGAGCCCAGGAATCCAGAATCCTACTTCAATTTGAAGAGGGATCCTTTCAAAAACAAAGTGAAGCCAGATTTTGTCAAGGATCGTAGAAGAGTAAAGCGTGAGTATGATGAGTTCAAGGTCCGAATAAATAGCTTGCCTGATTCTATTCGCCGCCGATCTGATGCCTATCATGCTCGGGAGGAAATCAAGGCCATGAAGCTTCAGAAACAGCACAAGGACAATGAACCTGTGGAGAGTGTAAAGATTCCAAAAGCTACGTGGATGGCAGATGGCACCCATTGGCCAGGGACTTGGTTGAATCCTGCACCTGAGCACTCTAGGGGTGACCATGCTGGTGTAATACAGGTATTAGTTTGGCTACAAACTGTTCAAGCCATGTGAATGGTTACACTATTTATATTGACAGATCTGGAAATTGTGTTAGATTTTCTTCTTGTTATTGCTGGTTGAATAACTCAATTCAACTTTACATAAACTAGTTGGGATGGGCTACATGGCTTCACTTTCTCCATCTCTTCTGATATGTGCTGAAGTTCATAAAAGCGCCTGTGACATTAAACCTTCAAATATGAGGCTGATTATTTAATTTACTTGATGCAGGTGATGTTGAAACCTCCCAGTGATGAGCCACTACTTGGAACTGCTGATGATACTAAGATAATGGACTTCACTGATGTTGATATACGTCTCCCGTTGCTTGTTTATGTTTCTCGTGAGAAGCGTTCAGGCTATGATCACAACAAGAAGGCAGGGGCCATGAATGCACTTGTTCGAGCTTCAGCCATTATGTCTAATGGCCCTTTCATTCTCAACCTTGACTGTGATCACTATATTTACAACTCCCAGGCAATGAAGGAAGGCATGTGTTTCATGATGGATCGAGGAGGTGACCGCCTCTGTTATGTTCAGTTCCCTCAGAGGTTTGAGGGCATAGACCCTTCTGATCGATATGCTAATCACAACACTGTTTTCTTTGATGTGAACATGCGTGCCCTTGATGGTCTTATGGGTCCAGTCTATGTTGGAACTGGTTGCCTCTTTAGAAGGATTGCCCTTTATGGCTTTGACCCACCACGAGCTAAAGAAAACCACCCAGGTTGCTGCAGCTGCTGCTTTGCCAGGCGCAAGAAGCATTCCTCAATTGCAAACACCCCAGAAGAGAATAGGGCTCTAAGAATGGGTGATTATGATGATGAAGAGATGAACCTCTCCCTGCTCCCTAAGAAGTTTGGCAACTCAACTTTCCTCATTGACTCAATCCCAGTGGCAGAGTTTCAAGGCCGTCCTCTTGCAGATCACCCAGCTGTTAAGAACGGACGCCCACCTGGTGCTCTCACTATTCCCCGTGAGCTTCTTGATGCATCAACTGTTGCAGAGGCGATCAGTGTCATATCTTGCTGGTATGAGGACAAGACTGAGTGGGGAAATCGTGTTGGGTGGATTTACGGATCTGTTACTGAAGATGTTGTCACTGGGTATAGGATGCACAACAGGGGATGGAAATCAGTTTATTGCGTGACCAAGCGTGATGCATTCCGTGGCACTGCTCCAATCAATCTCACAGATAGGCTTCATCAAGTTCTCAGGTGGGCTACTGGTTCTGTTGAAATTTTCTTTTCCCGTAACAATGCCCTCGTAGCCAGTCCTAGAATGCAATTTCTTCAGAGGATAGCATATCTCAACGTTGGCATCTATCCCTTCACTTCAATCTTCCTGATCGTGTACTGCTTCCTTCCTGCACTTTCCCTCTTCTCTGGCCAGTTCATTGTTCAGACCCTTAATGTCACTTTCCTTGCTTATCTCCTAATCATCACGTTGACTCTATGTTTACTTGCTGTGCTTGAAATCAAATGGTCTGGCATTGAGCTAGAGGAGTGGTGGAGGAATGAGCAGTTTTGGTTGATTGGAGGAACTAGTGCCCACCTTGCTGCTGTGCTTCAGGGGTTGCTGAAAGTCATTGCAGGGATTGAAATTTCCTTCACGTTGACTTCAAAATCAGGTGGTGATGATGTTGATGACGAGTTTGCTGATCTCTATGTTGTCAAATGGACATCGCTGATGATACCTCCTATCACCATCATGATGGTCAACTTAATTGCGATAGCAGTTGGATTTAGCCGAACAATTTACAGTGTTATACCACAGTGGAGTCGATTACTGGGTGGGGTTTTCTTCAGTTTCTGGGTCTTGGCTCATCTCTACCCCTTTGCTAAAGGGTTGATGGGAAGAAGAGGAAGGACACCGACCATTGTTTTTGTGTGGTCTGGACTTCTTGCAATCACCATCTCTCTCCTTTGGGTGGCAATCAATCCCCCAGCTGGCACCAACCAAATCGGTGGCTCATTCCAGTTTCCTTGAAAGGTCTTTTTTATCCTTTGGAGTTTAATTTATTCAATGACATTCCTTTACTAAATTCTTTGTTTCAAAACATCTATTCTGCTGGAGAACAGGCTAGGTCTTGCACCCATTTTGTGTAGTAGCTACTTTCTCAACAGTTCTAGTAAAGATGGAGATCGGATCCGACGAGATGGGTGACTGGTTTGTTGTTGACAATGCATTACATGAAATACTAAAATCAGTGACCCATCTTTACGTAGATGACTAGGATTGTGCTCATTGTATTATTTTTTTGTAATTTGGAAAAGTGAACATCAATTTTAAGGGAAATTGCCTATTTCATTCCTATGCTTCTTCATTTGTTAATTCCCTCGCTTCACGGCAAGGGCTCTATGCTGTTATATCACACACATTATCGTTATCTAAGCTGAAATTGACATTTCTTGATTCAGGACGTTCTTCTGCGTATTTTTGAAGTCGATTTAGTTCAGGGATCCTACAGAATGTGCCTTAGCTTAATTTGATTCTCCTTTTAATTACAGTTTCAACTAATATCCCCAGTGATATACATCTTGTCCAGTCAACTAATATAAAAGAACTAGGATATGTGGATCAAGGGGAAACGAAGAAGACTGGTTCCGGTTCCAGTGAAAGTCTTCTACAAATATTTGGTGATCCATCTTTATGAGGCAAGCATGAGATATGAGACATGTGCCGGATAGACAACGTTGTGTTTGGTTTGTGGGGATGAAGATAAAATCCAATAGTGTCTGACTCGGGGATAAAAATTAGTCAAATTTTTGTACTTATTTTTTAAAGGGACACGCTGGACAGAACAAATCATATTCTTCACTTATCAGTTTTGACCGTTTATCTTACAAGAATATATAAAAGCAAAAATCACGGAAAATAAGGAAGAAAATGAACAAGAGACGAGAAATTTTCTGGTGACAGTTCAGCCACCACACGAAAAAAATACCACCTTTAAATGAAAGTCCTTGTCTCTAGGAATCCGTAGAATGATGGAGATTTATCAGCTTATTGTAACAATATTAAAAGATACCTCGATATTTCGAGTCAATTGTTTTTTCAAGGCACTGGGATATCTGGAATTATTCTAGAGAGGTAAGAGGTCAATACTCAATACTGCTGGAATTGATTGATTTCACAAATCTTTCCTCGTAATTGAATGAATTCAGCCTTAATCTTTGCATTGCTCTTGGAACTTCCAATTCATTCTTTAGTTCTTGCTGGAAATTCTTGACGTATTGACTATTGACCTCTTACCTTTCTACAATTCCTCAAATTCCAAAAGTCATTTTTACACCAGCATCAATACCCTTGCTCGAGAGACCTTGTCCTCAATGTCAAAGTGAGAGAAACATCTCTCTTCATCATTTTACGATCAGGATAGCTACTGAAACCACAGGATTGTCTAAAGACATAGGAAGTTGCTCTTGAGCTTCAATTACCTTGATGCATTTGGACACCCCAACAAAAGCCTCATGGACTAAATCATCTAAAATAGGTTAGGTAAGTGTACCGTCCGCTCGCCACTCACCCTTATCGAGCTATACTATTGAGTTTACGAGTTTTAAATCGCGAATGGTTAAATAAACGATTGCGGTTGCTATCGAGGATAGCGACTTACTATGATACTAAAATAACAAGAACGGACTACTCGTAAATCATTATATAACGGTCGTTATATAACCTAATGATTATTATTTAAAACTATGATCGAGTTCACTAAAACATTACATCCATCAATATCAAACAATGAAATGAGAAAATTGATGAACGTGTAAAAATGACTCGTTGTAATTGAAGGAATCGTAAAGAGGTAAGAGGTCAACATTTAATACTCGTTGGAATTGAAAGAGTTGCAAAGAGAGCAATGGTCAACACAAGTCAGCAATCGGCAATTAATCGGTTAGGGAATTATTATTAAAAAATGTTGCTCGTGTGAAGATATATCACGTGGGAAAAAATAAGTGAAACATGCATGGCACGTGCAACTATTTGTTAAGCCGAAGTTGGAGACATTGTTAAAATCAAGTTGCAAATAACCATTGTAGCCATTTTGGAAAACTTGGGCATTCTCTCTCTTATTCTTTCCTAGTTCTTCTTGTATTTCCTCTCTAATGGATAATTCTTGTTACTTAGTTTTTTGTAATACAAATTTGTAGCACAAATTGATTGATTTCATAAATCTTTCCTTTTTATTGATTGAATTCAGCCCTAATCTTTGAATTACTCTTTGAACTCGCAATTCATTCTTTAGTTCTTCTTGTTGGAAATTCTTGAAGTGCATCAATTGGTAGCAGAAGCGAGTCTTGACACTGTGGAAAACAAAAGAAACAATTACAATGGCAAAAAGAAATAGTGATTTAAAGAAAATGGAAGAATTATTTGCTTCTTTGACTAAGGTAATTTCGGAGCGAATTGAGAAATGCAATACTTTTTTACTCAAAGCAAAGTCAAAAGATCAATGAGTTAAATGAACTAGTAAATAGTCTCGTGAATCTAGTTATGGATGATGTAGTTCCCGATCGAATAAATGGTAGTAATAATGAGGGAATGAGAAAGATGAATAAGGTTAATAATCATGGTTAGGGATATGAGTTTTTATTTTTTTTATTTTTTTTATTTTAAGGTGACTTCGTTGTATTTGGTATGAAAGAAACTATTGGAACTCAATTTAAAGAATGCTTAGAGATGAAACTCTCTATTGAGAGTAAATTTATTGATAGTTTGTTGCTACAGAATTGTCAAAAATTGAAAGATAATGTGGTTAATTAAGATATGGATCAATTTCTTTTTGATATAATTGATAAAACTAAACAAAAACATTTGATTGATATTAAGAATCAACAATATTATGATGATTGTGAGATTTAATTTATGGTATTGTGTGAGAAGACAAACCTAAAAAGATATTAGTCCTTTGATATTTTGGATTTGGGCTTAGGAAAAATTAATTAGTCCTCATTGGATATAGATTTTTTTTTTTTTTTTAACTATTGGCCTAACGAGGCTTAGGCTATGGTTGGAATCCATATTTGCTTAAAAGTCTTTTTTTTTGGATTAGAGTTGAATGTATCATTATCTATTGTGGACAAGTTATGGCTAGCTATACTCCTATCATTTAGGAGCTTATGGCTGCATATTTTGTGCCCTAGATGTCTAGGTATTTTAGTGTACTTGTGTATTATGGAAAGCAAACTTTGATTATTTTTTTTAATAAAACTTTATGTGAGATTTTTTCTCCTAAAATTGTGACTTCCTTATGATTTGCTTAGGAATCTGTTGCTTGATTGAGGACCTAATCAATCAAGGTAGTGATATCAATCAATTGCATCAAGCCTTGTGCTTGCTTAGGTTTGCATACGTATCTCTTCTTATCAAAGTTAAAATGGAGTCTTTGACTTATGCCGGAATCAACAAAGGTTTGGTCATTTAACCTTGTAAGTTTCAACATCTACATAGCTAAGCCTAAACATTATTATTTTGATTGAATTGTAGATTTGGATTACTTTTCACTTAGTTATACATTGGTTAAGTTTCGACAACCATACTTAAGGTGTGTTTGATAACCCATTTAGGTAGATTAAAAAATTAAATTGTAGTACTTCATATAAAAAGTTTGTTTGATAATATACCTCATTTAAAATTGAAATTTAGTCAAAATCTATTTAATTAAGTAAGTTAAAGTTTTTAACTTAAGACTTTTTTATTAACATACTCGGTTAAAATTTTTTAAAACTTTTTAAATATTACTATATAGCCCTTATATATTTTTATAACTATAGTTATACAAACCAATCGAGAAACGATCTAAACTATCCTCTTTGTCGAAATAGAGAAGACCTTCCCCATTATCGGTGCTTTCATCCCATCATCATCAATAAGTTACTAGTTAGAAAAAAGCAAGTAAGCATCTCATTTATAAAGGTGTATTTTGTTATGTTGTAAAATGCATAAAGTTAGGGTTTTGAGCATGGAGCTTTTGATGACAGGATTTGGGGACCTCTCTTCGTCGATCTAAAGCTTTATTGCTTGGCTCAACTTCGTATCACTTTAGTGGAATTGAAAATTGTCCTGCCATGCATTTCTGCTTCCATCCAAAACCATAACATTAGGATCAGAGCCAATAAATTAACAACAGGTTCCACCGCTCATGGTGAAGAAGTACAGTAAACCAGATTACGAATGGGAAAAGAGCAGGTCGATCGGAGTGGATTATACTTTCCATGTCTTGATCATCTTAAGTTTATTTTTAGACGGGATAAGGAAAACAATTTTTTTCATTGGATCGATTAAGAACGGATTCAAAATTCTCAAATAATTGAATTATGTATTTTTATAAATATAATATAATATGATATTTAAGAATTAATATACATTAAAATAATATATTAAATACCCATTTGAATATTGAACTTTAAAGGCTTATACATACTTAAATATAAATAACATAAAAATAGATTTAACAACAAATTTATTTTTAAAAAATCAATTGTTCAACAAATAAATTTAATAAAATATCAAACATTTATGATTAATTTGCGAGATCAAATTAAAAATATATTTATTAGTACTTGAGATTTCATTTATTTTGTGTATGATATATAATTAATGTTATCTTAGACCCCGTTTAATTTTTTATTATTAATAATCATTTTTATTGAATTTTTATTTATTTATTTATTTGTACATATAAACACATTTATGTATGTATTTTTATTTGTGTTAAAAAAATATCATGTTATAATTACAAGGTTAAATTTATCATGTATATAGCCTTAATATATTCAACAATAGTACTTATCAAACAACCTTATTATATTCAATATTTAATTTTAAATAAATATTAAACAGTTTGTTAGTAATATATTCAGTACTTAATTATTCAACATTTCAAATTCAATACTTAACAGATTTAGTACTTAATTTTCATTTTTATTAAACACTAATTGTGTTGGATTTAAGGTTTTGACCTTAGTCCTAAACTAAGATTTTAGTTGATTATTTGCTTGGACTTGAAGTTTGTCGTTTATTGTGGATTGATTTGTCGTTCAGCTACGTTTAATTGTGAGTGCTCGAGCTCTGATTGTTGTTAAATTATTGGTTTCGACTTGGAGTGAAATTTTATGCTTGCTCATGTGCTTCGGCTTGTATTGTCTTCGCAGACCGGTATGAACAGCTCTGTTCCCTTTAGCAATAATTCTTCACCTATTTCGGCTTGAAGTGGTTTTAAACTTCAGTCAATATTAGATAACCCCGAAATAACATTTCATTAAACCTCGTAGTCAACCATCATCATTTGTTACGTACCCTACCCTTAATAGTGAGCTCTTTTCATGGAACCACCGTCACTTTCAAAATTAAAGTACCTTTTAACTAGGAGCAGCAATTTTGCCATAGAGATACTTTCAAAATCAAAGCACCTTCTAACAACTACATTACAAAATCTCCTATTCAGAGATGGATTTCTCATAAGCATTGCTTTCCTCTTTATACATTGATTTCATTTGAAGTTTCCACGCTTTCCCGAGTCTTGCGCTTCTTCTTATCTTCATTTTTCCTCCTCTTCTTTTTCTTCTCTGAGTGACTGTCATCAGCAGATTAGTCAACATCAAAAATCCTGGATAGTTATTTTCTGTCATTAAGAATTCAAATCTAAAGTAGACTAAGAATAGAATGCTGCAAGCAACAATAGAATTTTGTCAAAAGAAATGGATAAAATCGGAATCAGAAGGTTCAACATAGAGATACTCAATACTCACGCAAAGCTCTGTTCCTTCTGATTTTGTTCCTCTAGCGGAGACACAACATGGTCCAAACTATCAGACTTGTACTCATCTTGCTTGCCTTCTTCCTCTTTGATGGCTTTACCGTGGCTACCGATGTCAGTTTCAAGAATTTTCTTATCTATGCGTTCTTTCCTTTTCCGCTTTGGCTCTGCACCATTTTCATGCTCATCTTGTGCAGATAGTTCATGGTCACAGCTGTCAGTCTTGAAATCGTCTTCCTTGCCTTCATGATCTTTAATGGCATCAAGAACTTTCTTAATTGCATGTTTCCTTTTCCTCTTTGGCTTTGTAACACTTTCGAGGTCCAACTGAGCGGGAGGCAGATTGGAATTCCATGGCAAGACAGCCCTACTACAAGAGTACATCAGATGAGATCAATAGAGCAAAGAGATCAACAGGTCTTTTCCTAATTAAGGTGCAATGAACTAGGATGAGCTGAAAGAGGGATATGTATGTATTGTTGTGCATATAACATAGAGTAAAAGGCTAAAACCAATATTACTGACCCATCATTTGCTTGCTTCTGATTTTCTTTCTTCGCCAACGGTATATCCTGCCCTGTGTTTTCAACTTTAGCTTCATCTTTCACTTTATCTTCTCTGATAACATTGAAATCAAAATGATTGTCAGCTTCAATATGTATTTCTTTTCCTTTCATAAAGGTTTGCACAGAACTCAAGCACGAATAGGGATAAATATATATATGCAAAATTGCACTAACTCATCATTTGTGTCCTTTTGAGTTCCTTTATTGGTCACCAGCACATCCTGCAGAGTGCTTTTAGCTACATCATTTGTGTCCTTTTGATTTTCTTTATTGGTCACCAGCACATCCTGCAGAGTGTTTTTAGCTTCAGCCTTATTTGGATGCGCTTTAAGCTCATAACTCAAATGATTGTCAGCATCTTTCTCCTTTGCATGCTTTTTCCTTCTATTCTTCAGCTTTTCAACATTTCTACATACCACATTAGAGGATTCCAGTGAGAATTGAGCAAGATCACCTCTCATGTGAACATCAGAAAAGGATAAAAACAAGTATCAACAAATTAAATCACTCACAAATCCAATCTTAGTACAAATACCACACACCAAAAGAGGAAACAAAAAGAGAATGGAGAAAGACAAACGGGGAGTGGATGCAGACCTCTGAGGCTACCAAAAAATTTGAATATCATAATGCATAACAGTAATAATCCAAAATGAGTCCAAGATGCTTAAACGCAACCTAGATAAATTACAAACAATACGGGTTTTGTTGATGCTTTCCTTTTGTGATAATACATTAAAACATGTAAAGGCTTTCTCATTTAAGCAAAATCTGCTTTGCTTTATGATTTGGGAGAATGCTCTTATAGTTAATGAGTTAATGAGGGGATCCTGCAAATTTAACTAGTTTGGCCAAAAAAATACATCAAGTGGAAAAAAAGATCTTAGATCAGCTGGTTTCAAAGCATCAATAACGTTGGTTTTCGAATTGATTAACCAACCTTGGGTATACCTGCATTGATCTTGAAATCTGGTTCAGCATTTATTAGGAGAAGGCAATACATTCCTTTGTCCTCTATGCCCCATGGCCATGAAGGACAACACATAAAAACATATAACTACATATATTCATATCATGAACCTGTGATAAGATTCTCTGGACAGTAGTGAAACTTACTTATCATTCGTAGTCTTCTGGTCTTCATTAGTCACAGGCAAAAATAGGTCCAATTTTTCAGCCCCTACCTCACTCTGCATGCATTTCTGCTGACCAAGAACCCTGCCAAAGAAAAAGTCATCTTCAAGTGGTTTCTCCTCTTTGCAATGTTTTTCCCTCTTCTTCTTACGTTTTGCACCATTCTGAGAACCCATATCAGAAGAAGGTAGGATAGAAAGGTGATCGTCTGGCTGCCTGTTTGATTACATAAACCAAGTATAACATACAGCTTATAGGAAGACTTACAGGCAAGCTAAAAACTAAGTAAATTTTATGTAAAAAAAAATAATAATAATAAGACAAATAAGACAACTAGGTATTCCACTGCACCCTTACGTTTTGGACACACCTTGAGCAGCACCAGCATTCCCCTTTGATACAATTATCCAGTTGCCATTATCTTTCACCTTCTTCTCACTTGTTTCGCCGTTTTCTTTCTCACTTTTTTCATCTATTTCTGATCCCATACTTTTTACCGCAGATTCTCTTTCGTGAAGGAAGGAAATAGGCATCTTATCTTCATCTTCAGATTCACTGACTTGGAATTTCTTCCTAAGATGTTTGTGGCTGCCCTTACCATTCTTACATTTCTTCTTATCAGATATCTCTTCAACCAATGGTAAAACCAGCAAATTTAAAATAGAAAAACATCAGAATAAAATTGCCTAAACATCAGCCTCATTGGAAAATAGAGTGCATACCACTATCAAAAGTAAGTTGATAAAATTGACAAGATAAGCACTACCCCTAGATTCTAATATACAGGGAAAGCAAAATGTCTGGAAGAACATGAGCAACTTGTAAATTAACAAAACATGACAATAAATTCATACGAGTGAGTAATCTCTGAAATCAGAGTCAAAAGTAGATCATAAATTGAGTCGATACATTACAATAAATTGACATTACATGAACATAATCACCCCAACTATCATTCCTTGAAACTGTAGCATGAAAAATGCCCCAGATAGGCCCTAACCATGCAACCTCAAAAACAAAGGAAGCAGACCAAACATAAATTCACAATAAAATGCAACAGTCTCATGAAATGGGATCTCCTAAGACAAAGAAATCAATAAGATTAGCTTTTAGCCCAAAACTAGGACATGGGTGTTGCACCAACTCAGATTAATTTGGTACTGCATATTGGTTTTACAATGGTCTTTGACACGGTTTTACTACAAAGATTTGAAATGACATAAAAGTTTTTATAAGTTTGCCTAGGAGTTTAATCTATAGCCTTAAGGATGCTATTGTAAGCTGGTATATGTAAGACTGGTATAAGTAGGCTTAGGTCTGAATTACAACCATGCTTTTTCCTTTTTAGCAATATATTTCAGAAAACTCTAACTACTTAGCTATGTTGTTTTTATTTTTATGTTTCTTTTACAAGTCCAGTAATTTATTGCTGTTATTCCCCTGAAACTACACAGAAAATACTGAGCAATAAGCATAACAGCCAGAAACTTGCTGGCCTATGTATACGTACAATCATTTTATGAATCGTTCAAATCATGTGTAGATAGTCTGTCTGCAGTTTAAAAGTATTTACAAGATAATACACTTCATTTACTCAAAGAAATATAATGGTTTATTCTCACTAAAACAAACGACTTGAACTCTCATAGCAGCCCAATGCAACTCAATTCAAAGCAAAACCAAATAATGTGCATGCTGAAAGTACTCAGCATACAACTGCATTAAGTATTCACAAGCATAAACCAAAACGGAAATGGACAATAGAAGGCTGGGAAGCTACTGAATTGACCTTAACTTGGAAATCATGTTTGTCAGAGTTCCATAAAAAAAAATTTAAGAAAACCTTTTGTTTTAATTTGACGCTTTGCAATACTTGTGCATCATCATCATCATCATCATTCCCTTTCTTTTAAAAAACAAAATTTTACCTTCGCTGGTATAAACAGTGGAAGGTGACTTGATCTCTGAATGATCATCATCATCATTGATGAAACTATCCTCATATTCATCTTCGTCACTGCCATTTGCAGACCTTTCGGTCTCTGTATCTGCAATATCTTCTCCATAGGATTCTCTAACAATTATAAAATGAGGGAGAAACAAAGAAAATGTTTACGTAAAATATTCAATAAAATGACAAAAAAGGTGTTAGATAAAATTCAAGTTTGTGCAATGAACAGCAGTAGACCAACAAAAGGATACGTCTCGTCGTCTGGATGAAGATGTTGACCGCTGCGGCCACCAAGATAGTAACCACTAAGATGAACACTGCGAGGACCAATAACTGAGAAAACAACTTCAACTGTCTCCTCGAATTCCAAATGCAATTGGGATATCTCAGCCTTTTCAGGAAACAAAGAACAAAGAAAAACAGGGCTGGAATTTCCTACATTACACTGAACCACACTGTTCTTCACTGAACTACCAGTCCCTATAGTTGCCTGAGAAACCATAAACAATCACAACAAATTATCAAACATCTTCTGTAAAACATCAAAATTCAACTTCAAATTTAAGCTATAAAGAAAAAAACCCAGTTCAGAAAACATGAAAAAGAAAAGAAAGCATCGTTTATAGGTACCTGTGAAATGTGGAGCCTTCTTCCATTATTTGGCACATGAACGAATGGCTTTCCTGGTTTCACTTCAACTCCTGAAAAAACCCAAAACAGATATGAACAAATAAATGCCACCAGCATCCATCATTCAGAAATCAAGTAATCCAAAACGAAAAATAAAATTATAAAAAAAAAAAAAAAGGGAGAGAAGGTGGACTCCTTTCAAAGGAAAAACTAACCCCAGAAAGCCATTGCTTAATAGTAGTACGAAAATGCAGAGATTTTATCTTATGAAGCTTCAATGTATTAAATATAGATCAGAGAAGAAGAAGAGGCAGGTGTTCTGATGTCTTAAACCCTGCGACGGCGGGAGGGAGAGGGAGAGAGAGAGAGGCACTTATAAATTGGTGTGAGTGGTGACGTGGCGATGACTTAACGACCATGGAAAACTACACTTAGCAGCCTCTAGTATAGTGTTATCAACACTTGCATCACCTTTTTTCATACATTACACTTTACTCCCTCGAATGTGCTTTTGTTGCAATTTTTTTAAAGTTCATCGTTCAAAGTAACATGGAGTGGTGAAATTTTTAATTCTTCTAGATAGTAACATTGTTCAGCAAGGACATATAATGGCAATGCTTTGAATTTTTTATGAAAATTATGAAACAAAACAAAATTAATCAATCATCTTTTTTAGTTAGCTAGATTATTCTTCAGCAGCAGAATATGACAAGTGGAGAATCAACCAGGTAACTTAGTCTCTATAATAAAAAGTTTTAAAGTCATTGTCACATGTGTCATGAGCTCATCTCTCTCTAAATTTTGAGAAAAAAATTATCAAATTTTTAGGTTTCATGTCATTTGATAAGATCACAATAGAAAAGAATTATCTTCTTCAATCAAGAGTAATACCAAATGATCGATAATATTACTTATGTTGTCAAAATGTATTTCATAAGAGAATTTGTGTGGAGATTTTTATTGTTTATAAGTAGTTCTAATCCTCGGATTAATGTTGTTTTTTATTTTTTTTAAAGGTTTAAGACTTGCAATCGGTCAAGATCACTCTAAGAGACTTTTAGGAGTCTCATTACAATTTTCGTTGGAGAGAAGTTGATCGGAAAATCTAATGAGGATTTGTTCGATGGTGGATAATGCTTACAAATTGAGACACTTCCTTCAAACATGTTTTTTTTTTTTTTCGTACAAATTCATTTTGTATTGTTCGATACCATCTATTATGACATTATTAGTTGTGAGCTTACATAGTGCATTTGTTTTTGAATGTGTAATACAGGTCATATATATATATATATATATATATAGAAAGAGAGAGAGAGAGAAATGCTCGAAACGTACGAGATTGATGCCGAAATGGCATGATGCCTTAAAATCCTAAGTAAGCTAATTCAACAATCACAAGATATAATTCTCAATAGGTTAAGCTATGCCAATAAACATAGCAACAATGTTGGGAGTCCATAGGTAATCAAAACCTCCACACAATTCCAAACACACAAAATAGATTTATTAATATGGCACCCAAACAACTAGACTAGAGTATGGGTGATCTCTAGGTTATACTTGTCTAAACAAACTAAAATTTTACCCTAACATTCCTAACATACAGTAGTAGAAGTATGAAAAATTTCAGATCAAACTAAAGTTTTCTAAAGCCTTATTTAGGTCACTCAAATTACTAAATCCAAAATTACAAATAGTCTAAAACAGGAGGCACTTTTACCGTGCCTTTTACTATTCTTTATATTGTTCAATGAACAATGTTTTACGCCTTTCCTCTTTTTTTTTTTTTTTTTTTTTTGAACCCAAGCAGCCCATGCAGTTGCCTAGCCTTTTTTTTCTCCTTTTAATATATATATATATTATTTGATTTTATCTTTATAATAAATATTTTTTTCTTCACTTTTAGTAAAAAGTTATGTTTTCTTTGTTCGATTTTGTGATATGTTTTTATTTTAGTCATTAAATTTTTATTATATCTGATTTTTATATTTACTATACCAAAACTAAATAAATTTTACTATCCTAAACCTTTTTTTGTACTACTCACTCCCTTTTTCCCCCCTTTTTTTTTTTTTTTTTACCCTCACAATATACTATTCACTTTTAGGTGTTTTTTTTTCTTTTTAAATTTTCACTCTTAGTTTTTTTTTTAATTTTTAAATTATTTCATTTTAATCCCCGAAATTTTAAAATAAAAAATTTTAATCCCTAACCGATGCACTACATACCTTTTCTTCTTCTTTTTTTCTTTTTTTTCCCCATCAATTTATGTTCTTTTTTTATTTAATTGGGTGTTAAAATTTTTAAAAATCAATCGTTATTTTTTTCCTTACAAACTGGCGATTATATAATATCTATAAATCAAATATATGCATTTTTAAAAAATAATTTTCTCATCAACATTAAATAAAAAATATTTTATTTTTCATTGGTTAATTTTTATGCAAGTCTATACATTAATTGTAACTTTATTGTTTGGATATATTCTTCTAAAACAACATATATTTTAAAGCATTTGTTTTTATATTCTTAATTAATATTTCGAGTTTAAATTATATATTACAAGTTTTTATTTAGGAATCCCTAATAAAGAAAAATAAATTATTTTTTTTAAGAAAAATTTTTATGAAAAACACAAAAAATAGTAATAATTAAATAAAAAACTTAATGAAAAAATTATAAAATTTTGAAATAATTTTGTTCTATCTACCGTAACATTGCGTTGATAATTTCAAAATTAATCTTCTCATCAGCATTAAATAAGAATTTTTTTTCCATTTTTTAGTTTTTATAAAAGTTTATCTATTAATTATAACTTTATTTTTGGAATATAATATTATGAAAAATATATTTTTAAAGTTTTTTTAAATTCGATGAGAAGATTTTTTTCCATCCATAAAGAAGAATGACTTGTGTTTTTTAAAGCAAAAGATTTTATAAAAAATATTAGAAAAAATTAATTAAATAAGAAATTATAATTAAAAATTTTTTAAATTTTAAAGTGAGTTTATTCTACCAAACCCGCAGCAGTAGCATAGGCAATCGGCTAGTTGTCTCTATACTATCCGAAATGCCAACCAGGTGTTTAAATCTATACACCACTCAAATCAAGTTAAAACTATTTCAAATTTTATAAACAATCACAAAAGGTATAATAGAGAGTCTTTACAAACTTTTATCTCTAACGGATACCTCTTACACCTCCAACGCATAAGTATTCGGAGAGAAACTTTTAGGAATTATCTTGGCTTTATAAAAATATGATAATAGGACTTTATGTTGCAACTTCATTATATTATGATGATCAAAATGCTATTCAAATTGTTTACAATAATATTTTTCATGATTATAATACACATGGGACCATGCGTTTATTTAAAAGTATTTTATTTTTCATATTACAATAATCAAATCTCATAAATCATTCTAATCTAATTCTATTAATCAATCAAATCCCACTATTATGATAATATAGTTTCAATGTAGTCAAGTCCACTTGTAATGAACCAAACTGATATCATTTTGTGTCTTTGTAGCTTGAAACGAAATCATTTTTCCCCAAAATAAAAATAAAAATAAATAAGTTTTTTTTATATTTTTTCCACTTTTTTATGCTTTGGTCCTTCAAGTTAGAATTTTATTCAAAATGATCTATAGTTTTAATTATTATTACAAAATGATCCTTATAATTTTTTATGGTAGGGCTATGCTTCTAGTCCAAACGCATAGGCGTTCCATGCCCATACGAAAGGGCTTAATGTAAAGCTTAGCCCAGCCTCTCTTCTTCTTTTTTTATGCTTTTCTTTTTTTCATTATTTATTATTTACTCAAAAAATATATATTTTTTTTCATAATTAATAGTTACCTTTTTTATTTTTCTATATATTCATTACTAAAATAAACATTCTTCTAATATAAATTGATTCAACTCCTCCTTCTAATTTGATTTAAAAAAAAATAATAAATGCATTTTTTTCTTTCTTTTTTTATTAATGAAAATAAAAAATATTTCTAGGATATAATTAAACTCAATTGTGGAGAATATATATATATTTAATAAAAGTAATTCTCACAATTAGCATTAATTAATTTTTATTTTACACCTAAATATTTGAATTATTAAAAATATTTAAACATATTATTTAGATTTAACCGAGACGATGCACGGGTACTAGGTTAGTTCTCTCTGACACTATCCAATTCCACTATTCTCTCCAACACAATATATTACATAGTACACAAATCCCAAGATTATGTTCATAATTTATGGGATTTGATTCTAATATGGATTGTAAGATACTTCACAAAATTCTTATCCACCAGTTTCTTTCAAGATTTCATTTTCAAACACAGCCTCAGTGTCAACCTTACCACTTTGAGTTTAAGAGGAGATGTTACATAATATTAGATTATATTTAGTTTTCATACTTACTATTGTAATCTTTTATTCATTATAGGTGATCCATGGTCATATGACTACATATTTGCCTTCCTTATTAGTGTAGGATTGGTAACTATATATACGAGCATTGTACAATTGTTTTGTTAAGCAATAAGGACAAATCTTTTTCTCGTTCTTATATTGTCAGTTTGATGGTTGTGTTGGAAAAGGGGATGCAATTAAGTAACGGGGTCTTATTTTTCAAAAAATCATTTGGTGCAATAGTCTTTGATTGTTGAGTTGGGAGTTTTTGAACAATTATATACATAGAATGAGAATGAGGTCGGTGGTTTAGTAATTATGTGGATATGGTACTTTTAGGGACTATGTCGGGCGGGCGGCCGTAGTAGTTGTCTTTGCTGTGTAAATGCCCATGGTGGCTTCCTAAGAATTTGAGGTCGATGGCTATGGTGGTTTCGCTCTGTGAGTTGAGAGCTGGTGTGATTTTATGGGTTATGGTGCCTTTGGAGGTCATTTGGCGTGGTGAGAATGGAGAATAGAGGGTGATGGTGGAATAGGTCAAAAGATTTGGCTGCTCAAGTTTTTGGATGTTTTTACTATTTTTTGTTTAAATAACTTAACTAATTGCCTTTTAAATATTAGATTGTTAAATAGATTTTCGTATTTAGATAGAAGCTGACGTGGCAACGAGCCCTTTGTCACTTGATGAGAAGGAGAAAGAAAAAAAAAAAACCACGTGCACCCCAAAGTTCAAGTCCAAATCTTAACGAGAATATTTAACAGAAATGAAAGGAAGGACGACTTTTGCCATAGTAAGGATCCAACTGCATTTTTTTAGAATCACTAGATTTCATGTGCCAAAATTGTAACAGTCGAGGGACTAAAAATGCCCATTAAAACCATTAGCTAATTAAGAACTAGGAACTAGAAATCTATAGATAGTTAAGGAAAAACCATAGTTAATAAAAACTCCTAATCAATATAATTCATAGATCTCCTTCTCTTTTGTTTAGGGAAACTCGTACAAATGCAAAAAAGAATCATTTTTAAATGCGAGGAAGAGATCTTAGCCTTGTGTTATGAAGGATTGGGACCAGTAGAGTTGGCACGTTTACAATCACAAGCGCATACACTTCTTGACTCTTTCACCACACGCTGCGACCTCCTTGTGTGAAGCCTGATGTTCACCAATTTACCAGCCATCTGTTTGCACACGACATAAAAATGGAACCTATCTTCAAACTTCAAGTAAAGAAACTGATCATTTTCAAACAAGTTCTAGAGGCATTACACCAAGAAGAAGCAAATTGTAAGGACACAACAATCTTAAACCTCTCCTACGTTTTATGTAAACACTGCAATTCTTTTGAACAAATAGAATAAAAGGCCATGACTAGCAACAAAAGGAGATCTTTATATAAGAGTGCATTTGTGATTTGAACTCACAGATTTACATGCAACATATGAAGAATGGTTATGCTTATCTAAATAATTACTCCTTGAGGCAACACCAAAAACTGCAAGAATTTTTTTTTTTTTTTGTACTTTCTTTCCTTCCTTTTCTTTTTAACAAAACTGCAAAACTGGTTTAACAATAAAGTGGGTTCTTTGCCAAAAATTTCACTCAACCAAAAAGCACAGGTGAAATAAGCATAGAAAGAAACAAGTTACCGAAATAAATAGTTGCTATCAGAAAAAGGAAGCAAGAATAGCATAAATTTTGTAACAATTATTATTGAAAACATGCCTGCCATAATAACTAGCAATTCAAGTCACAACTTCATACCAAAGCTCGTAACTTATTCCCCAGACCATTTTTGTAATTACCATCCTTAGACCAAGGCATCGTAACACAAATACGAGGGAAGGGAAGCCAACAGTAATAAGGTTGAGGTTGAAGCAAAATATTACAGCCTAAATCATCTCGATGCTCTCCGAATTGTAATGAAAAATTAATAGGGTCTATCAGTAGTCAATCATCCAAGAGAAGAAAAGGTAAGTGTTATTTATCCAGAGAAACAAAACATTGTACCAACCAGAGACCAAGAAACTATTGTTAAATTTTTTTGTAACAGGCAAAAGATGCCCATGCCCATGGAATTGTTCAAACATCATAGATGCAACAAAAAGCTTTTTAACACAGCAATGAAATACATCAACCCATCCCAACAAACATTCACTGCTCATACCAAGAGACAAGCACATGGTTACTATTCTCTACAAGATTACTTGTACACACACAAATATGCATGCATGCATCCAAGTAATAAAAGCAGCAAGACTTTTGCAGCAGGAGAGAGTAACAAACCATTCTCCACGCCAAATCTTCAGGTCCAAGGGGTAGAGCTGGACTGGAATAAATAAAGTGCCTTGAATACTGAAAGAAACGAAAAGGCATAAACAGTTGCCTCGGATATGTTAAGCGACCCAAAGATTAATAAAATAAAACTTAAAATAGAGAGAACTAATGAACAAGGAGAAGAATAACTAAACGAAAACAAATGTAGACAACAAAGAACAGTTTCTGCTGAGGCATGGATAAGCCAAGTAGAGGCAAGAAAGATTATTCAGACACAAAGAAAGAATAAGCAGCAAATAGTTGCCTCCACTTAGATCACAGAAAAAATGATGGACAAGAAAATAAATGTTTAACTAGTAACCTTCGCTGTTTCAATTTAATCTTGATAAGTGACGAGGAAAAATTAAATATCATTTTAACCTAAGGGTTAAAATTGTACATAAATGCATGTTCAGCAGCCCTTTTAGCGCATACCACCAACGCTATAGCACAGTGGTATAAACTATGGACAACAAAGGGTTGGTTGGGAAGGTACATCTTAAGTTTGGTTCTTGCAATTGGCAAAAGAATTAAGAAAATCAAGATATCATTCAATTTCACAATCAACAACAGAAAATTAAAGAAATCTGAAATTGTGTAAGCCTTATTAGAGTCACAAACCTTGGCAAGGTTTCTTTGCAGTCCCCTGGTTTGAGCAGGGCTAACACCTTTTAAGAATTTTAATAGCCAACCCGGTTGTACGGCATCACTGGAAGAAACAAATAAAGCTATCTGCATAGCAAGGTAAAGGGGTTCAAGCCCTCATCAATTACCTGGTACATAGTTTTTGGGCAAGCCGCTTGTTTTAAAGTCAGCAACATAAAATAAATCAGATACAATTTCTCATTTTATCAAATCATCTACACATGTGTTTGTATCTAATCCATTAAACTTGCAAACATTGAGACAGAAAACGACATCTTTGATTTCCTTCTCACAACTGTTATCTGAAAAAAATTGGCCAAGTAACAAATTCACCCAAAGATTGTTCGTATCCCCACAAAGTAAGTGTTTCACAAGATACGTGTAAATACCCTATCCTCACAGAGAGTTCCATGTAACATAGTATATTTTGTCCGCTAGCAGAATTAAGTGCTTTGTCCTTGATACAGAATTAGAAAGAAATAAAATAAAATCACATACTTTTGTGAATAATAATGCTTCTCAACACTAAATGAAAGACAATGCTACCTTTGCCTTGCCATGAAGTGATTTTTGAAGATTCTAACATTCCTCCCCATCCAAACACAATAATGCAACATAGGACAACTCTACAATATCTTAGCATCATTCCTTTTTGTCAAAACCCCAAAGTTACAACAAAGTCTGACAACATATCTACCATTTATTCAGAAAGAATCCATGATTCACCACCAAAGCAAATAATGAATGCCACTTATACCAAACAATTTGAACAACGTAAGAAAAGATCACTTTAAAACTCCCCGCTTTATGACACACAACACAAATATATCAAGGAGTAGACCTTAAAATAGCTAGTAATCTAAACCAGATCATTTAAAGTAATTTTATTCAGCATTACCGTCCAAATTAAAGCCTTAACACCAGAGGAATCCCGGACTTTCAAAATATGATCAGTTAAAACAAAATGATAAGAATCCAAACTAAAGCCTTAACATCAGAGGATACCTGGAGTTTCAAAATATGATCAGTTAAAACAAAATTATAGGAGTTTGGGATCTGGACAGATAGGGAAGAAAAGAAAGAAAGAAATAAAATCCCTGACGCCTCAAAGAACAAGGCAAAAATATTAACTTTCCACAACATTGAACCTTTCATCCAAAAATGCTGAAACCATCTATATAGGGATCTGTTTGACCAATGATCCAGGCGATAACTGTTATAAACTAAAGAAACCAAAATAAAGACTGTCCAGTGGCACATGTTGTAAGTATTGGATTGGGCTTCTATTTTATGGTTGTAAAATATGATTGCATCCATAAGTTCCTCATCAACTGAAACAACAGGTAAAAATATCTCCACATCATAGCTACTGCAATATATTCTCAAGTACCGAACCAAACTATTGACATATTTCCTACACAATAAATTAACTTACCTGAGCTTAAAGCTTACCAAAAGATGCACAGAATAGAAGAAAATAATAACAGGGGGTCTAAAAAATGAAGCATACCTTTCTGTAATCAAGTATTCCTTCAAAAGGCAGCTCTAGTTCATCACTAACTATAACTGGGATGCACCCACTAACAATAGCATCAAATAATCTGGCAGAAGATGGTGTATCACCAGCTGGACTCAAGCAAAAAATGGACCTATGACAAAGGAGAAAATCAATATTTAATGAAAACCACACAGAAAACCTAGATCAAGAAAGAGAGCCAAGGATCCAATGTACTTGCGCATGCCAATTTGAGCAGCTTCTTTCCCTCCCTTTCCAGTTGTTCCCTCTTCTATAACCACACCCTCAGCACCATTTAGTTCTGCAACAAGTTTTGCACGTATCTTCCCACCCTGGGCAAACAATGCAATCAATTAAGGTACTAAACCTTAAGATATATAGACATAGGGCACAAAAAAATAGGGTGGGGGGAGGCAGGAGTGGCGGGGAATAGAGCAATCGCAAGGGTAGCATATTATACATATACTAAAACAGAATATGGTTTCACTGTAGCTAAGCCCCTGCTACAGTCAAACCAAAACGATGCCGTTTTCCCAAAAAAAAAAAAGTGATTTTTTTGTCAATTTGTCAGTATTTTACACTTTAATCTTCTAAGTTATTACTTTATATAAAACAATCCCTAATTTTCATGAATATTACCAAAAGGTCCCTATCATTTTTTTTTCAGACTGGGTTTTTTTCATTAATTATTATTTAATCAAAATAATTTTTTTTCCCATCATCAATGGTTACTTTTTCTATTTTTATAAATATTCATGAACTAAAAATTAAATATTCTTCTAATATAAATTGATTAAACACCTCCTCCTAATTGGATTTTTTTAAAATAATTAATTAATTGCATATATTTTTTATCTATCAAAATAAAAAATATTCCTAAGAAATATTTCAATTCAATTATATATATATATTAACTTAAATTATTTTTTTACCATGAGTATTGATTAATTTTTATTTTATATTTATATTTTTAAATTATTTAAAATATTAAAACATGGATATGATAAACTTACCCGCGGCAACGCGCGGGTATTAAGCTAGTAAAAGATGAAATCCAAATTTTAATTCAGTGAGAAATAGATAACCTCAGTCCAGAAACCAAAGGATAACATGACCAGAATCAGTACATGATGGAACATATTCTCAAGAGCTGGCAAATTCCACTTTGCAAAATTCATTTATTTCCAACGTAGAAATCAAATATAGACAATAATCATATCTAGAGCACTGTGCTCTGTTTCCACAGTTTTGTTTTAAATTCATCAATGTTATTTTCCCTCTAGGAACTGCATAAAAGTACAGTAAAAGAAATTTATTAAAAAAGAAGAAAGAAAATAATGAGAAGAGAAAAATGGGGGGAGGAAATTCCACAAACAGACTTCCAGAAACTAAGATGAGATGTCACGTGACCATATAAATAAAATGGTACACTAAAAACACTCAAACGAGTAAATGTGAGTCTAGGAAAATTTTCAGTTGAATGATCTTCATTTGTATGAGGAAAATCTCAAGTTCTATAATATTCTTTAAGAGGAAAACCAGGACTATTACATGTTTATATATGAGCTCTAGGTACTGTTAACCTATTTGAAATTGGACTACAAAATAGGAAAACATAAATTTGAGTACTTTAGAAAAGGAAGCACCACTGAAAGAAAAAAAAATTGTTTAATAGCCAACAGACTAACTACACACTTAAGAACCTGGACGCTACTACTTACTATTTCAACTGAATCTGGAACTTAAACACTGAAAGCCTCAGATTAGAAACACACTGATCTAGCAGCTAATAGATTAAGTAAACATAGATATAAGTTAATTTGGACTACCAAAGGCTCAAAAATAACCTTTAGGCCCTCATAAGGCCTGAATTACAGTTTAAATTTAGCTAGTTGAACAAAAATCTTACAGCATTTCTTTTAAGCCTCCCACGGAAGAAAAGCAAGGTGGTTCTCTTTGATTCACTTTCTGATGTGCATTTGGCATCACACAAATTCACATTGGGGACATACGGAAGAATTAGGTCTTTCTCCAGAAAAACTTGTCCTGGTTTGTACCTGCAGATTATTTAGTCATTACCAGTTGTTATAACCAGTCAAATGCTCAAATGCTTTCTTAGTTAAGCTATATAGTCACCAGTTCCCAGTGGAGTCCATATCTGGTAATAACCAAATTGCATTTTTGACATATCGGCGAACAGATTTGAAAGACCAAGGATGATGAATAGGAAATATGTGATTCCTTCCTTCCGATCGTTTCCATGCAGGCTGATCTGTCACCCACTTCAGACCTTCCTATAGCCGCAGATACCAGAGAATTAAATTTTTTAATGCCGAGGAGAATGCTAATTAATTTCATTCTATAAAAAGCATACAGAAAGAGATCTCCAAACAAGAACAAGCATAGTTGCACATTTCGTGAAACTTCAAGCCATAAGCACGATTTCTAAAATTCAGTGTTTGTCTTACCCTCCTATATTTTAACTTGATATTCAACTCAAACATCATACCATATCAAATGATAATTTTAACTGTTGCTAAAGTTCCCATTACACTGTCAAAAAATGCAGCAGTCATTTTATGTGCCAACGACAGTTAAAACACTGCTCATAACATGGGAAATTGTCATTATCAAAGAGACTGCATATTATACATTAACTAACACTCTTAATTCACTTTTTAAGTCCTTTAGGAGGCCTTTAAAATAGAAGTACTAGTGGTTACAATTTCATAAATATAAAAAAATAAATTAATTAAAGCACAAGTATTAGTATTTCAGATTCAGAGAAAGTATCAATCTTTTCAAGGTATTGCAATGCCAGTTATTTGCAGACACGACGTGTAAAATTAACTAGTATACATATTGTTCAAGGTTAATTTAAAAAAAAGGATTTCTTTCTCTCCAAAGATACTCTAGCTCACCCATAGCATTGAGACAAGTAGGAACCAGTGAGTAAAAACTCTTATGTTGTTCCTTGTATCAATGATTCATTATTGCCCTAGATCTACCAGACTAACATCAGAAAAACAGTACAGCATAACTAAGCCAATGAACACATAAATACAGTCCAATTTGAGATAAAGGGCTTCAAACATTCAGAAATTAGCAGAAGAATCTAAGCTTCGAGAATTTCAATCGACAAAAGAGATCAAGCATTAGGTCAAGTCAGTTTCCCTACACACATATATACACACCTTCCATATATACAGACATACATACATGAATATTCATAAGAAGTATATCGTAAACATTGGAACATCACTCACACCCTATAAAGAGCCTTGCATTGCTGTTTCTCCAATAAGAAAAAGCTGATGGTCGTGAAAAATGGCACGTAAAACAAATCCGCATCCTCCTGCCTCTCAACCCTCACCACACTTTTCAACAACCTTTCCGATTCAGGAGCAATCAAATCGGCCCAAAGCCAATAATCAACGGAATGCTGCATTCATATTATAATCACAAATAATACACTAATTAATTAATTAATTTCAATTACTCCACTGTAATAGAATAGAAAAGAAGATACTAAATATAATGATACCTGTTCGATTAACCGATGCACGGGGCTGCCATTAGAGGTGAGATTATCAGTGTCCCTATAAGTATTTCTAAACAGCCAAAGCAAATCGTAGGTGAATTTTGTCGGCATCTCGTACACGTAAACCCTAATTGGCAAATCCAACGGGTAGTATGGTTCTCTGTAAAATCTCTCGCTCTCTTTAGAAAACAATTTGTCGTCGAATCTTGACACGTCCTCTTCGCTAACTGTACGAACCAGAGATGATGGTGGTGGTGGTGATGCTCTGTGAGTGAGGAAGTCCTCGAGGGACGCGACGAATGAGGTTTCGGGTTTGAGAGTGAGATTCGGCTCAGAGTTAGGGTATGGGGAGGCGGATGGGTAACGGGTAGATAGATAGAAGAGGAGAGAAAAAACGAAAAGAGAGATTGTTAAGAGGAGGAAGATTGGAGATCTTGATCTTGAAAATGAAAATGACGATGATTTATGGAGCTGCCTGTTTGCCATTTCTTTTCTTTAGTTTTTGAATCTCTCTCAAGTTGCCATTTTCTTTTCCAAATCCTCGAGAAAGGTCAGGTCAGGTCCTTTGGATGTTCTGCAATTTTTGTTGTTGTCTCCCAGAGCCTTGCAAAATGGTTCACCGTAACCAGAAACTTTTGTGGGTAACCATTGTACACTCTCCATGGGCCCACGTTTAGAGAAAGGTGGCCAAAAAAATAAATAAATAAAATAAAAATCACATTTACTTACGATAATAATATTTCTGCTTTTGTTTAAATTTCGTTTTTTAATTTTGTTTCCCCTTTTTTCTATCTTTCTATCATGATTTTTTTTTCCTTCTCTGTGTCTATCTTTTTTATATATAGCAAATACTTATAGTTACTCTATGATACTATTTGATTACCAAAAATAGAACAGTGAGAATAAAAATAAAAATTTTATTCTAACTTTGTAGTTATTTGATTCAATAAAATAAAATAAGAATAAAAATAAAAAGTAGAAATAGTAATTTTCATTACGCATAATTTCATTCTCGTGTAGAATTTGAAAATAAAATAAGAAATGACAATAATTTTTTTAAATAATGATATATTATGGTTATTTATTATGTATTGACTACTTCAATCACCACCACTGTCACTTTTATTATATTACTACCACTACCCAATGGCGGACCCACAATGTCTTCTACAGGGCCTAGGGCTCCCTCCAAGTTTTTTTTTTTTTTTTTGCCTCTAAACAGTTATAACTAGGCTCAAATGCTTCGACTTTTCTTTTTTCTTCTATTCATATTATATCCTATCATTTTGCACTATTTTAGTATCACATTGATTGCAAAATGTGTTATATTGATCGTGATGAAAGATTTTTAATACATATGAAAATGTGTAATTATGATTAACATATTTTATTTACTTGAAAATGGAATATTTTTACTAATCTTTTAAATAAAAATAGATGAATCGTGAAAGAGATTTACAACATATAATAATAATTTTGGAGATTGAAATTTTAATAACTTTTAAGATGAATCTTTTAAAATAAAGAGAATTTAATTTATCGAACTAGTTTATGTGTCAATAAAAACTAATTTTCTCTCCAAAATGTTTTTAAAGAATTTTTTTTTACATTGTTCGATTTATTTAGAAGAATTTTAATTTTCTCTAGATAATCATCATGCCTATCTTTAGGAGTTATTTAGAAGAATTTGAGCATTTTGATAATGTACATAATCTTTCCGATTTTGAAACATTGTCAACTATATCCGATTTGTGTCAATGAGTGACGAAGACAAGAAAATTTAAAAGTTATCCACTTGTGTATAGAGTGATAACACTTATTCTTACTATTTCAATTTCTATTGCTACCACGGAGCGAGACATTTTCAGCTATAAGTATAGTCAAGACTACATTTTGTAGTAAGATGAAAGATGACTTTTTTTCAATTGTTTATTAGTGTATATTGAAAAAGAAATTGCTGAAAATTTTAGTATGCATTCGCTTATAGATAATTTTCGTGGCTTGAAAGAATGAAAATCTCTATTTTGAGATTATTTTAAAATATATATTGATATGTTATTTATAATACATATAAGTTTGTGTAAAACATGACAAATATATAAGTTTGTGTAAAACATGATAAATTTATAAATATTTATTTTGACCTCCGTGGACATTTAGTCCCGTGTCTATCATCGCCACTACCATCCTCTTTTCACTATCATCTCTTATAGTGATGGTATCAATTTTTTAAATATATTATTGTTATTATTATATTGTTATTACTACCACATTATCTTACTCTACCACCACTATCACAGATCACCTCTATTATTTTTATTATCATCATAAATGATAAATTATTTTTTTAATCATTATTTTTATTTGTGTTAAAAATAAAAAATTAAAAAAAAATAAATTTTATTATGATTCTTCATTAGTATTTTAAATACAATATAGAAATGCAAATGTCATTCTAATTCCCTATTTTTCATTTTAATTCCTTCATTCTTATTATAAACATTTCATTTCAAATAATCAAACGACACATATGAGTAATATAAAATTTATCATTAAAAAGACTTTAATTTTGATATTAATTTGGCAATGACCACACCCAATGAATCCACTAGACCCGTTAACTTTTTTTTAATCTAAATTAAAATGGTTACAAACTTTTTTTTCCACTACTCTTCATTTTCCCTAGTTTTATTTTTTATATTTTAATATTAATATTCTACTTTAATATTTATCTTCATTTGATCCTCATTTAATCGGAAGTTAGAATTTGTAGAGGGAGGTTCTCGAGAACTAATCGGATGAGTCGATCGACGGACTAATCAAGATACGGAGAACTAGTGTTATGATTTATAGAAGCAACGGACAACCAACCAAGCAGAAATAATGTAAATAGTGAGAGTTGTGGGAGGAGAAGTAGGCAATGCTTATAAGGTACAAGTCGTCTGGTTGACGAGTTAGAGGTCAAAGTTCAAACGAGTGAAGCTTTCGAGTGTTGTCTAGTACGTGAGTGGGAAAGTTTTAGGATGGAGTGTTGAAGGATTTCTTTTGCTAGACATCAAAAGTTCGAAGTTAAAAGTTTTTCTAATGCAAAAGCTTCGATCCCCTCATAATGATATAAGATTGGTATTTATAATAAAAAAAGATGACCCTTTATCGCTAGGATCATGCTATATCATTCAAATTTGGATGGTCATATTTGGTTTGAAAGATTTAGGTTATTTATATTAAACTGTTTTCACTTACTAGTAAATGCTAAAAGAAGTAATAGTTGGGTTTTCCTTTAACGAACCTTGCTCCAAGCCCACCAAACCAATCTCCCTAATGTTTCCCAATGACAAGGCATGACCTTACTAAAATACTCGTATACATCCTTACAATGCAAGACCTTGTGTTATGTTATGTTCATTCTTATTTCAATCTATTTTTATCATGCAATTTGAACTCATGTCAAAATCAAAAAAAAATATATATATATAGATTAATATTAAAAAAATTAGCTAAACTAATTAATTAAAATATCAAGTATATACATTTAGCCCCCTGCATTTGCAACCTTGTTAATAATAGTGTTCTTGAAACCATTTATAATGAAATAGAGAAAAAATAAATAAATAAATAGAATTCAAAAGAATAACCTCACTTGTCGTGCTTTTTTGGCACTTGGAAAAAAACAAATATAGCACGCAATATGTTAAGTTGTAAAGACCGATGTGGATGTGGTATGTAGTTTAATGAGTTACACGAGAGGCAACATGGTGGGGGGGTCGAGGAGGTAGCGTCCCTTATGAGGGCTCGGAGGCGGAGCTCTCGAAAGATCTATAAAATATCAAGTTATGTGTATAGGCTCGTAAGTCTTTCTTATTATAATTCTAGTAGTCCACACTATAAATATGAAAATTATCTCTTGTATTTATAACTAATCGAAAAACCTAATAATAATTCCTAATATAGTAGTAGAGTAGGTACATTGTCGAACCACTTAATTTTTTTTTACCGAGTCTCAATCACATTTTATTTTTGTTTTTAACAATAAATAATAATAATAATAATATAAACTTCTTGACTTTTCAAAGCTAAAAAGGATTCATTAAGAGTATTCTAAAAATTTTTGCTTCCTTAACTACCCATATAAAAGAAAACCCCTAGTTATAAAAAAAAAAAATTGCTTCATAATTTTATAAGTTGAGAGAACAATTGACAACTCAAATCTCAACTTCAAAATTTCTAAAACATCACCATGACTTTAACTTCAATGACACATGAAAACATAAGAAGAAAGTTTCATACAATTAATTTGTTTTTTTTTAAACTAAAAAAATATTTTTTATTTTTGGGTGCACAAACCACTAATAGCGATTTGTTGCTATTCTACACGCATGCCTATAACAATTACTCGTTGGTTGTCAACACACATGCCAACAACAATTGGTGCGCAGTAGCAACATACGTGTTAACTGCAAATTGTTTTTTTGCAATTGAGCTCCATGCCCAGCGAGTAGTGCTAACCCTCATTCTTTTGTTTCAAAATATATTATTTACTTCTTCTTCTTTTTCTTTTTTTTATTGTTAGAGATTCCTATGGTCGACTTGTTGTTAAATTATTATTCATATAATTGCACCAATAATTTAATCTTAACACTTTATTTTGATTCCTAACTAGCCACCTCATTTTGACCTTATCACTTCGCTTTATTCCATGACCAATAACTTAAATTTGTCCTTTTTATTCCACTTTAGTCCTTGACCGACCACTCAAATTTGGCCTTGGCATTTCATTTTAGTCACTCATCAACCACTCAAATTTGAACTTGCCACTCTATTTTTAATCCTAACCAGCCATTTAAATTTAGCATTATCATTCCACTTTAGTTCTCGATAAGCCACCCAAATTTAGCCTTAGCACTCCATTTTGCTCCTTGACTAGCCACGTAGATGTAGACTTACAACTCTATTTTGATCCCTAACCAGCCACTCAAACTTGTCATTACCACTCCACATTGGTCCCTAACCAACCACTCAAATTTGGATTTGTCACTCCACTTTGGTCTTTGACTAGATCCTTGCCACTCCAATTTGGTTCCTAACCAACTACTCAAATTTATACATGCCACTCCTCTTCCTTAACTAGCCATTTAAACTTGGATTTACCATTCCACTTTGGTCCATAGCCAACCACTCAAATTTGTCCTTATCACTTTAATTTAGTCCATAGTTAGCCACTTAAATTTGTACTTGTCACTACACGCTGGCCCCTAGCTAGCCACTCAAATCTTTCATTGTAACCGACCATTTAAATTTGTCCTTTCCCTAAGTAATGAAACTACTTCACTTTTGTCAATCATTATTATTTTACTTTCATTGCTTCACTATTTAAAAATAAAACTGAATACATCTCCTCTTTCATAGTTCTTTATTTTACATACAAGCAACTTCTTATCCTTCATAGTATTTTTAAACCTACTTCTCACATTTTTTTTTAAGTTATA